CCAGTCCTGTGGGAGGAGGTGGCCAGGTGCCTGCCAGCAACCCCAGAAAAGAGGGCCTACGTGTGTGTGTGTGCGCACATACCCGTATGTGTGTGAGTGTGTGTGTCAGTGTGGCCTGTGTGTGTGTGAGTCTGCGTGTGAGTGTGTATGTGTGTGAATGTGGGCCTGTGTGTGTGCCTATGTGCATGTGAGTGTGTATGTGAGTGTGGTCTGTGTGTGAGTGTGTGTGGCGTGTGTATGAGTGTGGCGTGTGTGAGTGTAGTGTGTGTGAGTGTGGCGTGTATGAGTGAGTGTGGCATGTGTGTGAGTGAGTATGGCGTGTGTGTGAGTGTGACATGTGTGTGAGTGAGTGTAGCATGTATGTGTGTGTGACCTGTGTGTGTGTGAGTCTGTGTGTGAGTGTGGTCTGTGTGTGTGAGTCTGTGTGAGTGTGGCGCGTGTGTGTGGCCTGTGTGTGTGGCGTGTGTGTGAGTGAGTGTGGCGTGTTTGTGTGTGTGTGCCATGTGTGTGAGTGAGTCTGTGTGTGTGAGTGTGGTCTGTGCATGTGTGCATGTGGCATGTGTGTGTGAGTGTGGCATGTGTGCGGCCAGTTCCCGCCTGTGTCTTCTCCTCCCTGGGGTGTTCTTCCTCCACTGCAGCCCTGCCCACTGGTTGTTGACAGGAAGCCGTGTCAGACGCGCAGACGGCTTGGCCTGCTCTCCCGGTCACAGGGGGTCCTGGTGTTTCTCACCAGCAGGGCAGGCCCAGGATCCTCTGGGGGTCAGATGAGAACAGGTGCGGGGAGAGACAGCCCCGGGAGCTGGGGGCTTCCTTCCTTGGCTGCCCTTGTGTCTGGGCCTCAGATGCCCCAGAGTGCTACCCTCCAGGGCAGGGCCTGCAAAAGCAGAGTCAGAGGCTGGGCGCTGCTGCCGCCCACGCCCTGGGAGGTTGTTCCCAGCTCTGGAGCCAGCAGTGAGACCCTGCAGCGGGTTCTGTCCCAAGGTCACACTCTCCCACAAGCAGAGGCCTGAGGGGAATCCCAGCGCCTCAGCAAAAATGGTTGAAAAACAGCAACAGAGGATTCTAACCCCAAAGAACAGAAAGGAAAAAGCACGGCAGGTGGGGGCAAGGTTGGGGCAGAGAGAGGGGGTGGGGCAGGAGGGGCCAGAGCCGGTGGGAGGAGCAGGAACGCTGGGAGGAGAGCGAGGCCCATCAGTCCTGTCCTAATGCCGCATGCCGAGACCCCGTGGTGCTAGCCCAGACAACACAGTAGTGCCGCCTGGGCGCACTGCCTGGCGCTCATGCCCCCTGCAGCTCAGGGACCCTCTGCCTCAGGCGTGCCCGTGCACACGTGTGCCCCCATGAGTGTGGTTTGGGCCCTGCCTGAGCCTTTTGCAGTCTGTACCATACCAACAGCACAGGGGAGGAGCGTGTGAGAGTGAGAAAGTGTGTGTGAGTGTGAGTGCATGAGTATGTGTGTGTGAGTGTGTGAATGTGTGAGTGTATGTGTGAATGTGTGCGTGTGCGTGTATGTATGGAATGTGAGTATGTGAATGTGTGAGTATGTGTGCATGAGTGCGTGAATGTGTGCGTGTATGTGTGGATGTGTGTGTGCATGTGACTGTGTGTGTGTATGTGTGAATGTGAGTATGAGAATGTGTGAGTTGTGTGTATGTGTGTGAATGTGTGAGAGTGTGTGAGAATATGTGTGAATGTGTGTGCATGAGTGTGTGTGAATATATATGTGTGTGTGTCTGAGTATGAGTGAGTGTGAGTGTGAGTGTGCGGGTGTTGGGGGTCTGTATCCTGAGCCCCTGTCCATTTGCAGTGTGGCCCCTCAGCACCCTGGAGCACTGTGTGGAATCCATGATGCTCGGAGCAGACATTCCTCTGAGAATGGTGAAGAGTCAGGAGTGACTCAATGAAGGAGTCACGCGAGGATCCACCCTCATGCTGTTGTTCCTGGGCCTGTCCCCAGGCCTGGCCTCTGCCCTACCAGCTCGCACCCAGATCCCTCCCTCGGGCCCCTTACCCACGGTTCCCCAGTGCTTCTTGGTTTCCAAGGGCTTCTAGCAGAAAATCTGGTTCTTACGAAACCTCTTTGCCTGTTTTTGTCTTCTCTTGTGGAAGTGTCGCTTGGCCCGGCCTTCCCTTGGGTTTTGGTTACATACAGCTCTTGCCCCATGCTCAGCCCAGCTCCTGGGGGAGCTGCAGAATCGGGGTTTACAACAGATCCCAAAGGCCCAGGACACAGGAGAGCGAAGTCTGGTGGCCGGCCTCTTTGAGGTGCCTGGTCCTGGGGTGGGGTGCTGGTGTCTCTCAGAGCTGATGAGGCCAGTGCTGGCTGCCTCTGTGCTGGTCCCAGAGCCGTCCTGTGCATGGGAATCGGGGACCCTCCTGCTGCCCAGGACTCGGGGCTTCCTGGGAGGGCAGAGGGTGAGCGTCCTAATCCCCAGTCGCAAAGACCTTGCTCCACCCCAATACGGGGCTGCTTTCCTTTCCAGGCACAGAAGTTGCGAGAAGCCAAGCTTCTGCTCCTCGGAAGTGGGGAGTGTGGGGGTGAGCGTGCAAGGCCGGGTCTGGGGTCTCTGGCAGGACTGCTCTCCTCCCCTCCCATGGCGAGTGTGGCCGTGAACACGCACACTGAGGGAGGCTCCAGGTCTTCGTGGCGGGGCCCACGCAGGGCCACCTCCCGGACAGCTGGGCCTGCGCCTCTCTGCTCCTCTTCTTGGGTTCTGCTTATGCTCCCGCCTTCCCGTATGTCCCCTCATGGGCAGGATCCCCGTAGTGGGGATGGGGACCAGAAGACCTGTGCTCAGGCCATGGGGCATTGTGGGAAGCTGCACTGGCCACTTGATCTATGGGCCAGAGGAAAGCCAGGATGCCAGGCCTCCTGGGTGGCCATGTAGGCACGCAGCCTTCTGGCAGTGGTGGTTGGGGTGGGGGCCCTTGGGTTGAGGCATCGTTCTTGGGACCACGTGTGCGAGCGAGGGGGGAGACCACTGAGGGGATCCCTGAGGGGCTGGGACTGTGGAGAATTAGATGGGTCACCTGCTGGGCCCTGCAGTCCTAGGAGGGAGGGACGGGGCTGGGGGAGCGGGAGGTGTTCATCCTGGTGGGCCACAAGCCCTAGAGATGTTTGAGACTGAGTTTCTATCTGGGCCACCAAGCCGGGTCACACTTACTTGAGGCCCCAGGTTGCGGGGTGGGGTCTGTGTCTCACACTTGGGAGATGGGTGGGTCTGTGTCTCAACACTCGGGAGACAAGGTGGGTCTGTGTCTCACACACTCGGGAGACAGGGGAGGGGTCTGTGTCTCACACTCAGGAGATGGGGTGGGACGCGCAGACTCTGAGGCATGGCCCCTCGGGCTCCCTCACGCTGCTTGAGCCTTGCAGACACGGGCTGTGGGGAGCAGCAGCACCTTCACAACCCCCAGACCAGGCTGGAGCTCGTCGCCTCTGAGTCAGCTGGGGCCCAGATCTGTGTGTCGAGCTGAGACCCCCATCCAGAGCACCAGGACAGTCTCCCGTCTTATGTGTCCCCTGGGACCTGGCTTGGGGCTCAGCATGTGGCAGGCCACATCCTGAGTGGGCCAGGCAGTGTGGCTGGGCTTCCCGCGGTGATGTCCAGGCCCCCGTCTGCTGGACAGCCCTGGGTGGGCAGGAATACAGGGACTCCCAGAGAAACAGTCTCAGGGCTTGTCCCGTGTGGGTGGGAAGCGGCTCCTCTCCTGGTCTCACCTCCCTAAGACCTTGGGGGGAACTGAAGCTCCCAGGGTCTGGGGACCGTGACTCCCCCCCAGGGCTCCTGGGGACTTTCCCTGCTGGCCTCGGTCCTGTTCCAGCTCTTGCTGAGACCACTTCCTACCCCCGGCACCCATGCTGGTGGGTGGGCTTAGCTAGACCCCTGTGAGCCAGTTTGCTCCCCCAAAGTGGGTGGCGGGGTCTGTGGGGGGCACCTCTTGCCTAGCTGCCGGGCCCTGAGGCACGATGGGGCATTTTTAGCTGCCGGCTCCCGCCTTTGAGGGGCCTGGAATCCGTGGACAGACAGGAGTCAGCCAGGCTGGGCGGATTTGATTTAAAATTGGAAACAGAAGCCGGAGCAGCGACTTTATATAGTCCGGGGGGCCAGCGCCCCCACCCTGATTTACGAGCAGCCCAGGGAGGCACATGAAAGCGCGGTCAGGTTTATAAATTCCTCCAGGCAGGCGGAATGTCTTGGCTGTGGACCCACGCCTTTTGGGGGGATAGAGGGGGGGGGCCCTGTGATCATCCAGAGAGTGGCAGAGAAAGGGGGCTGGCCTGGGGGTGGGGGTGGGGCTGCCCTGGGCCCCTTCTACAGCCTGGGCCCCCCCCCAACCTCTCGCCCCCCCCCCCCCCCCGCCCAGCACTTCCAGACGCAGAAATTCCGGCCTCTGTCTACGTTCATGTCCCTCCAGCCTCAGGAAGGAGCACGGGAAGCCCCCGCTGCTCACCACCATCTTGTTGGAAGGAACTGTTGAAGGGACCTTCACCGCCCTCTCCCCATGGTGCCCGCGCCCTCCGTCCCCTCTGGCCCAGTCCTGCCCGGCTCCTTCCTGCAGGAGCCAGAGAAGCAAACATGGTCGGGACACAGCAAAGCGATTTATTATTCCATGCGACTCCATCCCCTGTCCTTCCCGCTCCCTCAGAGGACAGACACGGCGTGTCAGCACCCATGGGCTCCTCCAGGTCCCAGATGTATGCGCACTGTGGCAAGCTCCGGGCCGGGGGTGCACCTGGCAGCAAGAGGCACGTCGGGGCAATGCGAGGGCCTGTCCAGGCCCCGGCCCCCTGAAAGCCCGGGTGCTTCCACACAAGCACTGGCGGGCAGTTTGCCCGAGGCCCACTTGGCGGTCACTCGGCGGAGGGGAAGCCAGCACAGGGCCCCTCGGCTGGGGGGGAGGTTCTGTGTGCTGAGACGGGGACGCGGAGGCTGTGGCAGAGGAGAAGAAGGCGGGGGTCGGTGAGGCGCGGGGGTGTGTGCGTGGGCTCGGCCGGCTCACTTGGACACCAGCATGCGCACGAACTCCTCGTAGTCCACCTGCCCGTCCCCGTCCTTGTCGGCCTCGCGGATCATCTCGTCCACCTCCTGCTCGCTCAGCGTCTCCCCGAGGCGCGTCATGACGTGGCGCAGCTCAGCGGCGCTCACCTTGCCACTGCCATCCTTGTCGAAGACGCGGAAGGCCTCGCGGATCTCCTCCTCGCTGCAGCGGGGCCCGCTGTGCCGGGCCATCACGGCCAGGAACTCGGCGAAGTCCACGCTGCCGCTGCCGTCGCGGTCCAGCTCGCGCATCAGACCCTGCAGCTCGGCCTCGCTGGGGTTGCGGCCGAGCGAGCGCATGACGGTGCCCAGCTCCTGCGTGCTGATGCAGCCGTCGCCGTCCTTGTCGAACAGCGAGAAGGCCTCTTTGAACTCGGCCACCTTCTCCTCGCTCAGCTTGTCGGCCATGGTGGGCGCGGGGTGCAGGTTCTTGGGGCTGGCAGCTGGCGGGCTGGCACGCTGGGCCCGGGGCTGCGGGCAGGCGCTTAAGAAGGCCGGGATCCCCGCCCTGCGGTCGCCCCAGGCTCCTCCTCACCAGCCGGGGAGTCCGGCTGCAGGAAGCAGCGCCCACTAATTGGGCTGACGCCGGCGCCCAGGGGAGGAGGGGGGGCCCACTCCTGCCCAGCCCGCTCAGGCTCGGGCGCCCCGCGTGGCCCCAGCGTCCCGGCTGCATGCGCCCCCAGCCTGCGTTCTTTAAACACACACGCTGCAGCAGGCCCGTGGGGTTCGCAGGCGGACGTGACTCACGGCGGACACGGCCGTGCAGGGCAGTGGCCAAGCACTCTCGGGCGCCCGCATGGAGAGGCCGTCGGTGTCCTGTCCTGGGTCCTGTCCCCATCCACCCCTGGGCGGCCTCGGACGCCTGAGGCCCACTGTGAGCGGCATTCCGGGCAGGAGCGTGGTGTGGAGCTTGGGAGCAGGCTCCTGAGTGCCTCCATGCTCACTTCCAGCTTGAGAGGCGGAAACGACCTGAGGGGATGAGACGCGGGCTGAGGAGGTGGGGAGGCTGGAGGGTCCCCCCGTGGGCAGCACAGGCACAACAAGTGCCTGTTTCTTCAAGGCTGGTGCCCAGGACTGGGCAGGACCGACATCCTGTGTGGGTGTGTCAGGGGAACCCTGGCCCCTCGTCCCGTCTGTGGCACAGACTCAGCCGCCTCGCGTGTGGTGTGGTGGCGACGCCTTACCTCAGGCGTCTGGGCAGCGTCTGTTTGCCACCTCTGCGGGTCTTCCACACGGACACCATCACACACTTGATTTAAAAGTCTGCCCCAGAAAGCAGCAGCCGCTCCCTTGAAGACGGCACCAGCTCATGTGGAGTTTCCAAAACGTCTTTTTCTTTCTTCTTAAAAATTTTTTGTAAATGAATCACCGTGAGATACAGTTACAAAGCTTAGTAACTGTAAGTTTGAGTTTCAGTCATACAATGATTGAACGCCCAAACCTCCACCAGTGCACATTCTCCACCACCAATGTCCCCAGTATCCCCTCATGACCCCCTTCCCCTTCCTCTATGGCAGACAATTTCCCCCATTCTCTCTCTCTCTCTCTCTCTCTCTCTCTCTCTCTCTCTCTCTCTCTCTCTCTCTCTCTCTCTTTCTCTCTCTCCTTTTGGGCATTATGGTTTGCAATACAGATACTGAGAGGCCATCATGTTTGGTCCTTTATCTACTTTCAGCATATATCTCCCATCCCGAGCGATCCCTCCAATCACTTAGTGATTCTTTCTCTATCCCAGCCGCCCTCTCCCCCCAACCCACGCATGAGGCAGGCTTCCAGCCATGGAGCTGCCAACCTCACCCTGGTCTCTACTACCCTTGGGTGCAACACGTCTCATTTTCATGTCAGATTCACACGGGTTCTCAGGCCCCGACTGTCTATGGCTTCCTTGGCTCCGTCAGGTGTGCCCAGCGCGTCGAGTCAGGGCGGCTTGTCTCGAGCTCTTTGTTCCTGGGTGACAGGCTTCAGGTCCATCGAGCGCTTTCCTCGCGGCTCAGTGACGGTTATGCTGAGCATGCCAGCGGTGCGTGCCAGCGGAAATTTTATACAGTGCACAGCTTTGCTGCTCTTCCGAGAACATTCTTTAGTGAAAATGCTTTTGAAAACATTAAGATAAAGTGTCGGGGGAAGGATGGAAACCGCAGTCTGAACCTACTGAGGGGCTGACATGGCGCCAACCGCTGCCTCAGAGTCACAGGCACATGGTGTGCTTGTCCCCTGGTCTCTGGGACAGTAGTGGGGAGGCAGGGACCCCCAGCATCACCTAGACCTGGCTGAGCAGCGCAGACCCCCACAACCTCGCCCTTCTGATGTTGTAATTTGGAACATTTAAATTCTTGCTGTAAACCCCACCATGGCCTCTCTCTGGGCTTCTGTGAAGCCCAGAGTCCATGAGTCCAGAGTCCTCCCCGGCCCCGACCTGACCCCTAGCATGATGCTCCATGCACAGGGACCTGCGTCTATTCCTTGAACACACCCAACCTGACCTCCACCTTTGTGGCTTTGCAGGGTCTGCTCTTGCTCCCTCTCGGGGCGTTCTGTCCCTGACCGACTAGAAAACTGTTCTCTCTTATGCCAGTCCAGTGACACACCAACCCCCACCGCCCCTCACTTCTAATTGTCTGCCCCTCCCCCAGTCCTGACTCTGTGGGTGTAGGTGCTCTCCCCCGAGCACACCACAGGCCCCACGCAGTCCCTTCCCTGTGGGCCCCAGGCTGTCCCTTCCCCATAGGGCTCCCACTTGCTGCTGGGTGCGCTTACCTCCATCTCTTCCTCTTTGGCCCAGGCCTCCGAGCAGACCCCAGGCAGGCACGTCACGGCCCATCACACTTGCTCGTGGGCAGGGAGAGTGGCCTGGCCTCCCAAACCTTCCTAGTCTCTCTCTATATCCTCCCCTTCTGGCTCAGCGCCCCAGGGAGCGGCCTCAGGCGTCCTCCCCCGGGGGTACTGTTCTTTCCAGGACCCCAGGAAGAGGTGTCCTGTGGGAGTTGCTGCAGACCCTGAATCACTCCTGGGGTGGGTCTCTGCTGTGGAGAATCCCCACCCTGTCCCCAGCTCGCCCCCCACCCCCTACACCCTGGGCCCCACTCCCACCTCACAGCCCGCCACCCCCTGCCTTGCCTCTGCTGCCAGGCCTGGGGAGGGTCACAGGCTTCCAGCCCTGCTGGGCTCAGTCATGTGGGCTTTTATCTGCTTGTAGTGGCTGCCACCCAGGGATGCTGTCCCTGCTCTGGGAGGCCAGAAATGGCAAGGAAAGTAGCTCCGGGGGCAGAGGGACCTCCAGTCAGAGGCACGGGGTCAGAAGCACGGGAACCGCCCTCCTAGCGGGACTGAGAGCCAGTTATGAGTGGTGGTGGGTGAGTACTGCAGGTGGGCCCTACTTCTGCTCAGTGGTGAGGCTTCTCCAGAGATGGTGCTGGTTGGGAGACGTGCAGAGGCAACTGAAGGAGCACCTCAGGGTCCCATTCAGAGGCATTCCTGGGCGCCGGCCTCTGAGGCTCTTCAGACCCACCCTCCTCTAGAGACCAGGAGAAGACCAGGGACCCACTGAGGAGAATCGGAATATGGGGTTCAAGTGCATGTGTAGCCAGGCTGGGGTGTGGGTGGATGTGGGTGGAATGGGCAGGACTCAGACGGGAGCGAGGGATTCGGATTGGATGTGGACAGGACATGGATGTGGACGGAAATGGACAGGATCTGGACCATGCGTGGATGGAAAGTGGATGGGACTCAGCTGGGGTGTGGATGGGCTAGGGATGGGTGCGGACGAGATGTAGATGGGCTGCAGGTGAAACATGGACGGGATGCAGGCAGGATGGTGATAGGACGTGGTGGAACTTGGAGGACGTGGACAGGATGTGGACAGGATGTGAACAGGTCATAGATGGGATGTAGATGTGGATGGGGCATGGCCAGAACGCAGAGGCCCCATACCTATGTCCACCTGCTGCTCCGTCTCTCAGGTCTGAGCTGCCTACTAGCTCCCTCTCTGAGTGCTGTGGCCTGGGGTGGGGCTGTTCCTCAGCACCCTTGGTCTGGAGAGGCCCTTCCTTCTCCAAGGGGAGGCGTCTTCCTCTTGGCTTATTCTGAGGGGAGGCAACACAGGTTTACAGACAGTATTCAGGGAACAAGAGTCAGTCCTGGGACACTGACCAGCCTGGGGTCAGTCCTGGGACACTCACGAGCCTGGGGTCAGTCCTGGTTTACTGACCAGCCTGGGGCGAGTTCTGGGAGACTGATGGTCTGAGCCACTCCTGGGACACTGAACAGCCTGGGGTCAGTCCTGGGAAACTGACTAGCCTGGGCCACTCCTGGTAGGTGACACGAACCAGCTTGGGCCACTCCTGGTAGTAACACGGAGCAGCCTGGCTGATAGTTCAAAGCTCAGCCCCTGGTGCCTGGCCCAGCTCAGGGGGCCCGGGGATGCTGGGGCTGGAACCAGGCCCTGACCCTGTCCAATGCCCCAGAGCCTCCTGCTCCAGCTGCCTGCATGCAGTGGACACCCACTCTGACCCGCAGGCCTCTCTGGGCTGGCGCACCCGGGGGACCCCAAAAGCACAGGCCAGGCCAGACCCCACAGCCCACTGCACCCTTGAGGGGCTCCTGCTGCGTGAGGGGCCGCCCCGGAGTGTCCGAGCTGTTGGTCTCCTCGCTCTGCAATGCCACCTCTCTCCCGTGTCTGCCACCGCCGCCTTCCCACGGGGTGACACGGGGACGGGGTGGCTGGTGTGTAATTCCTGAGAGCCACTTTGATGATGGCAGGAGTAAATGATCACCCCAAACAAACTAGTCGTAAATACCACAATAAAAGCTGCTGAACTAGTGGTGTCTCCTGACGTACAGCCTTCCGGGGAGGGGGGTGGGGGCGGTGCAGGCGTGGGAACGTCTTGCTTGGGGCCTGGGGAGTAGAGGGTCAGCGGGGAGCAGGTAGAGGGGGCAGTGCGGGTCAGCCCTCTCCATTGGTCCAGGGGCAGCCTTGGCCAGTGCACAGAGGAGCCGGGCTGTGGACAGCTCTCAGAGGGGGCTGCTGGGGCATCTCTATGGGCACCATCAGGGCAGGAAAAGCTTTGCTCCTGCTCCCTGGCCTTTTTTTTTTAAATTAAAAAAAATTTTTATTGAACCACTGTGAGATACAGTCATGTTTGAGATTCAGCCATACAACGACCAAAATGACCAAACACCTATTCCTCCATTAATGCAAGCTCTCTACTACCAATATCCCCATTATCCCCCGCTTCCCACCACCCTATCTCTATTTTGGGGCATTATATCTTGCTCAAATTTTCCCACCACCATTCACGCCTGCCTTCCATGGGCAGACACAAGGTCATTTATTTTCTATTGCTCATTTTGCATATCATGAAAGGAAAGGTCATGTGGCCGCTTATGTGGCTGTGTGCTTCTGAAATTCT